TATGTTTTTGTATTGACGATGACATCCCAAATGTTTTAAAATGAATAAAAATACTTTTCTTTGGAAATGTTTTGATAACGTATTTATCATGTTTTACTGGGAACAAATTCTGCAACATTTTTATTAAAAGAGGTACTCTGATTTTTATAAAGCATAAACAAAATCGGTCTTTTTTGGCCGTGAAAATGGGGATGTCACACCTACACTATATAAATGTTTCCTCTTAGCCAAAATCATGATACTATGTGTTCTAAGAGTTCATATAACCAATCTTGTGTGCTCCATACTCTCTCTCAAAGTCCTCTTTTTGTTAATGGTGTTTATGAGCCATTTAAGGCATCACACTTGAGGTGCTAAGCTCTTGAAAGGCCAAAACTACAAGCTACAATAAAGAGGCATTATTTTAACTAGTTTTATGATTCATGTACAAATTGTATGCTAGATGTAGGCTTCATGCTTTGGAAATTTTATTGCATGTATAATTAGAGAAAACATATATCCAAAGCATTTAGGGTTGCATGTGCACCATAGGAGTGTTATAGTACTTAAAACCCAACAACAACCCCTTGGAACCCTACACCCAGGGGGTTGCCCCTAGACCCCTATTTTCCTGAGTTCACATTTATCATTTTGAGTGTGCACCCCATACCTCCTAGCTCGATTAGTAAATGGAGCTCAACCAATCTTATTATTAATAATAATTACACCAAAATATGTTGAAAACACTAAAATCACAAACATTCCTCTCCCATTTCAGTGTAATACTTAATTAATTAAAACCAAACACAAAATCAGAGTTATGTATAAATGAAAATATCTTGAAGATTGAATTTTCAAATACTCGAGAATATGGGTGTCCTAAGGATTGAACCTATCAACTCATTTGAGTAGCTGAATATACTATACACATTAGTTAAGCATAATATCTAATGTTTCATGATTGACACTATTACATCCATGTGTCCTATCCATTCATGAGTGCATAAAAGCCTAGCCAAATTAAGCTTTTTGAATCGACATCACTTCACACTCACACATGCAGTCCTTCTATATCATGCACATGTTAATGCACTTTTTCAAAATAACTATTAAGAACTTAATCAACCTACTTTAACTCTATAGGTTATAAGCACATACCTTGGGATGTAGTAACTTGAATGTGCTTCGGTATCCATAAGCAAGCTTCCTACATTGAGTTCAATGTCTAACATTGTATTAGAAGGGAACTGAGTATCTCACCCATAAAGATATCAAGAGGGCTTTAAAACCCATTCCTATAATTAGGGGTGAACATGGTGTGATTTGGTGTGATTTTTGGACAAAATCGAACTGCAAACTGCAACTTGCGGTTATTTATATTGAAAAACCAAAACTTGCAGTTTTTCGGTGTGGTTTTTTTGCGGTTATTCCGGTGCGGTTTTTATTTTTAACCGAAAAACGAGTTGGTACGGTTTTGCAGTTAAAATAATACGATTTTTTTCTGTCCAAATAAGATTTTTGTTGAATTTCATTTTAAACAGTGCAAAATTTTATTGCCTTTTATTTATTTAGAGACTTTTGTTGCAACTTATCACCATATTTGTCTATTTTATTTTTGTTAGAGGCTTAAGAAACCACATTGTCCCGAAAGGGATACCACAGAGTGTGATAAGCCTCAATATGGTTTCTTTTATATAGGCATAGCACAAACATATCTCTCACATCACGATGTGGGATAACTTCTTGAATCCCATATGTATCTTTTTATCACTATAAAAACAATGAAGAAAAAACCCATATGGATGAACTAAACAGAAAACAACAACAATATATGATTAATACTTATTTAAAATTTTAAAGGAATAATAAATAAATAGTTGATTAATACTTATGTAGAAATTCAAAGTACTAATAAAACAACTTTGTAATATATATATATATATATATATATATATATATATATATATATATATATATATATATATATATATATATATATATATATATATTCAAATGTTTTTCACAACTATTGTATGCATTTATGGACCAATGAGATTTTAGAAAAAAAATATTTAATAATGCATTTAAGGGTATTATTGGAACTTTATATATAATCAACTTTAGAAATAAAAAATAATCCCTTAAATCTTGGACGATACTAAAATCTCTTTGACCAAATGTATTTGACTAACACATTAACCCTAACCTCCTTCATATACGTCTTCTACCCTTTCTAGCAAGAACAGAACGCAACCCACCAAGCCGCCAAGATAAATTGATGAACAATCACCTCATCTTCTTTACCCGATTTAAACTTGCCTCCACGCCTTCATTATCTTCGTGATGACTACCAACATTACAACTGATTACCACCACTGTAGGCGCCAAATTAAAAGCGAAAGACAAAGATGTAATTCTTTCACAATGGAATCTCGATTTGTATAACATGAAATCTCAAATTACTCGTTAGTATTTGAATGTATACACTCTTTTATTGTAAATTTAGTCACATTCATGTATTTATTAATTACACGTGTTGTATGTTTCATCAAATGGAGTATAAAGATTTGAGCATCTGATTTTGCCCGCCAAATGTTTGTTAAAATGCTTGAATCAGATATTTCAATTATTTTTTTGTAATCTTTGAACCATTATATCTCTCTCATACTAGCTTGGAATGATCTGAAATTTGTTTATGCATATTCTCCTTTGTGTTAGCTACAAGTTAGGTTCCGTAGTCATTTTAATTGGATTAATATTGGTTGAGTTATAGTCCTTCAAACATGCGATGTTACAATTGTATTTTTAACACTTTTACTTTGTTTAGAAAATTTTGTGATATTTGAACTGTCATATTTATCACATTCTAGCTTGTAATAAGCTGACCTTTTTCCAAAATATTATCCTCTGTGTTAGCTACAATATAGGCTCTAGAATCATTGTAATTCGATTAAGCCGATTATTTGGATCAAGTAATTCGGGGAATACTTGATAAAGTGACTCAAGTATTACATTCTGTTAGAATAAATAAAAAGTCTTTAATCTCTAACAGATTCTATTAGAATTTATAGTTTTATTCTTTTAGAATATACTGAAAGTTATAATATTTTAAAGTTGATTATGTTTTTTTTATTTATGTTTGAAGGGGCTGCCATTGATGTGAAAAATGAAGAAAACATAGAGAACGAAAGTATTCTAGCAGAATGTTGTTATTTTTTAAGAATTTTATTCGTTTTTGTTGATATTCTTTTAGAATATGTATAATTATATTAAAATGTATAAGACTTTTTTTTAACTGGCAAATACAAATATTATAATCTACTCCTAAACTAACATTTAATTCCACCTATATCCAACACAGAACTTGAATCCTCAACCTCAAGGAGGGAGGACACTACCTGATACCGCTGGACTAAAAATGTATGAATTTGTATTTAAGTTCGGATGTATAAGAATATGTTAAACTATTGTTATTCTTCAACCGAGGATCAAGAATTATGTTATTCTTCAATAATATTTTAATAGAATAAAATTCTGAAAAAACATCATTCTAACAAAAAAATTCTAACGGAATAAAATCGGTTATGTTAACAAATTACGTTAGAATTAAAATTGAATTAATTTAAAAAATTTAGATTTTTGAAATTAGACAAATTAAGTATCCCTAAATATCCGAAATTTCCTTTTTTAAAAATATTAATTGTCCAAAATACCGTTATGCTGAATTTTGTGTGATTATATGATAAATGTTATTTCATTGTAATAATATTATACATTTTCAGATCATGACTATTGATTAATTCAATCCGTTGGTTTAGATTTATGTTTACGAGCACACAATATAAAATAAAAAATTAAACTTAAAAAATACCAACCTAACCAGTTGGTTACCAAGATTTTTGTTAATAAATCTAAAAAAAATAGTTATTATACTTTAAAAAGACAACAAGCAGTAATCTCATATATAAACATAGAAATTATGCATGGTATTTGCTATAAAAATACCAAAACATTTAAATGAAATAAATGTTTGGATGATATATCAAAAAAAAAAAAAAAACAGAATATTTCTATAATTTGGATGATTTGTGAATAATAAAAAAGAATATAAGGGCCATTTTTGTAATTTTGATTCCATTTCATTTAACTCGTGTAAGAACGTTTATTTATGTTTGAAAAAAAAATAATCTCCGGTCAATAAAATAAAAGAAAACAAACCTTATTAAAAAAAAGGTGCACATAATAGTCGAGATGATAACAGTATTCGAACATGAATATATTAAAAATAAATTAAAAGCTATGACGCTTTGAACCAACTCAACTAATCAAAGATTTGAAAATATCAAAAAAAAAAATATACCTAAAATAATTTTGGAGACCCAAACCTAGAGAGGCCTAGAGCCATCACCCAACCCAACTTGCTCACCCTATTGGGTCAGATGTGTGGTTACATTTCTAGCTAGTTGATATTTTGCAGCACCCTGTTCAAGTAGTCTCTAATTTGCAACTTCTTGTTCATGGTTTTATCAATCTACACGTCCCCAATATTTTAAATTCAAGTAGTCTTTAGTTTGCAACTTATTGTTCATGGTTTCATCGATCTCCACGTCCTCATATTTTTAAATGCTTTGTTTATATGCATCTGCAATTGAATATTTGATCATTTCTTTTGTACCATATGAAAAAGTATTCTTTAAGATTTGCACTTTGGATGCCAATATGCTTCTCTCTCTAAATGTACACACCTCTTCTACGCGGAAACATATTCTAAGGATGTCATTGTTTAAGCACTTTCTTCTTCCACTGTCTACAAGCATATATTCTCTCTTGGATGTCCACTGCAATTTGGGGGACAATCCTTTTATCGGATCGTTTTACCATAGTCTTTCTTTGATATGTCAGAATATATCCTTGATCCACTAAAGTTATATCCTTGATCCACTAAAGGTGCACACTTTATCATTTTCTCTTAGGTGGCACCTTTATCTTATTAGCTTTGGCAGGTAGCTTCATGCCGGTCTAACTGGTGTAGCTAAGAGTAGCTGATTCAGATTCATGGGCTGTAAGCCTTTTACCATAATTTATCAACTTCTGAAAATGTTATAAATAGATACTCAAGAGTTTATAATCTTATTCACTCATTCATTGTTGGGTGCTCTGACTGGTTGTTGCAATTAGGGAATTATTTCACATACTGCAATAATTAAGAGTTAAGACAATGAGCTATAACAGATCAAACATAGGTTCTGGTTAGTCTCTTCCCAATGCATTATCTAAGAACCATGAACGTTAAAACGTCTTTGTTAAATAATATGACTAAGATTTAAGGATCTGTAAGCGTTCTTGATGCATTGTTTCAGGTAGTAGGAATGTCGGAAGGAACACATTTGAGTTTGGAAGGACTTATGTGGTCAGGCCAAAAGGAACCCACCAAGCAACTATCGTTTGGTTACATGGCATTGGTGAAATGGGATCAAGGTGATGACATTGAATGTTTGCTTTGAATGTGATGATTTTTTAAAAGACAAATTTGATATCAATTGTAGAATAGCAAGTGGGTTGTACTCATTTCGACCATTTTGACATTTGATATCAAGATTTGATCGACTTCATAATATTAGTTTATTAGTGATGTTTTCTTCTATATATGACTTACCTATGGATGCTTTAGGATCATGAGGCTTGGTATTTTCCAAGTAATTCTAGGTAAGTTTCTTCTTTGGACTATACACAAGTGATCAACCATTAGTCAAATGTCCAAAATATATTTAGAAGATAAGAAAATAAAAGAATTTTATGGCCAAAATCAATAATAAGTTCAATGACAATGGAGAAACAAGTAATTTTACTTACTAACCATGATCTTAAGATTATGAAATTTGTGATGACTTCACCATAACGGATTTGGTGCAATTCTCAAGGACAAGATGTAGTACAAAGCATGACATCATTTCCTATAATATTAAGATCACTACATGACCTTATCTTTAGGTTAAGAAATCACCAACTTGCCCTTGTGTGAATTAGAGTGGAAGTTTTTGTATACAATTAATATTGTCTCCATATTGGGAAATGGGAAAGAGGTGCTTCCCAACCAAAAACTATATCCACAACTATATCTATCACCTGATCTAGATTCGTATGAGATTTTTTTCCAAAAGTGTTTTCCACTTGTTTCGCAATAGTTATTTATATTTGTTTTCTCATTTATATTTTGTTTTACAGTTGGTCCCAATTCTTGGAATCTTTGCCTCTTCCAAATGTACGGATGAGTATATTTCGGTTTCATGACGTACACAATTATAATGTGAACAACCTACGTTATTTTATGATTTGTATTTTGATCATTTTAATCAAATTACTATATAGATCAAGTGGATCTGCCCAACTGCCCCAAGTCGTCCGATAGCTTTATTTGGTGGAGCACAGTCTACTGCATGTAAGTTTCTTCTTATAAGGATAAGAGAAAATAAATGGTTGTGGGTCCTATGATATGAGAAGAAATGGAAGATGTGACCCAAAAACTAGAACGCGGAGAAAAGATTGAATAAATGAATAAAAGTTTCTACATCTTTTGATTCACTTTTATGTAACAACAAAGAGCAAAGTATAATTGGTACTATTTTTGTGGTTATCTAACATGTCAAGAATTATCAGGGTTTAATGTTGAAGACATGTCAGAGAATGCTACTGATGATGTGGAGGGATTAGATGCTTCGGCAACACATATTGCAAATATGCTGACCAACGAGCGTGATGATAGTAGGTTTCCTTATTACTTACTCATATGGGGATATATAAAAAGTGCTAGATAGAGGTCAATGGGTAGGATGTCATGTAGGGTCCAAATTGCCACTTCTAGTGTTGGATATGTCATTTTGTGAAATTTTAAAGGAAGATGTTTAATATGAGGCTAGGGAATATAACTTTTTTAACTTTATAAAAGTTCTCAACTTTTATATCATTTTGGACTTTTTTTTACCTCGTGATTTACCTTTTGTAGTTAAACTAGGTGTTGCTGGCTTTAGTATGGGAGCTGCTATGGCTCTCTACTCTGCTACATGTCGTGTTCTTGGGCAATATGGTAATGGAAACCGATACCCAATCAACCTTAGTGTGGTTGTGGCTCTTAGTGGCTGGCTTCCATGTTCCAGGTTGACTTTGTTGACTTTTAATCTGATCATCTTAATATATCATTAAAATATCAGTTTACTGAGTAAACAACTTGTTGTAGGATCGTAAGGAGCAGAGTTCATGCCTCACAAGAGGCTGCAAGACGTGCATCATTACTACCTATTTTGCTCTGCCATGGACAAGGTATTTGCTTATAAATTAACGATATATATTTTAGATAGCCTCCTTTTTCCTATATGGAAATTAGTTTTATCTTTTGGGATTCAATCTTATATGAGAAATCTTTAAATTGCTCTTATTTGTTTATGATTTGAATTTGGCAAGAAAATTATCATGCTTTTTGATATATTGGAATCAACTTTTCTTTGTGAACTATGATTAAGTTTAGAAGATATATTTGTTCAAATAAGAATTCAACAACACTTCATATAATTGGATGAGAAGCACCTAGTTCAACTTTTGGAGGAAAAACGTAGAACTTTACTAATTCAAAATAATATGCGTGCCTAGCTTAAGAAATGCAACTATTAAGGAGTGACTTTAGAAGCTAAAATAACTTGTTCAGAACAAATATAAATGTACCCCGATACCTATTTCTCTATAGATTCCAGGGCTTGAAAATATCTAATTACTGCCTATCAATCATATATGTAGACTGAGATTTATCCATCACAATAATTCTCTCTTAAGTTCAACAAAACACCAAATGTCTTAGCGAAAACACAAAGATGAGGATCTATATGCATAAGAAAAGGCTAGGGGAGAATTTTGCATTAATGATACGTACATATAAACATATATAATTATGTGAGTTGCATCTTTCAATAAAGTTTAAAACGAAGCTTGCAATGTCTGGTGTGCCTCTTGCGTGTGTAATCCTTTATCCAAAAAGCACTATATCTAGAGATGCCTCAGATCTTTTTACCAGATACTTGTGTTTATATACTATAAAATCATTCTTTTACAGTAAGTATTCAGAATTCTCCAATTTTGTTAATTTCTACTTGGTCTAGAATTCCTCAATTTTCAAACAATTTAGTTGTACCTACTCACTTGTCTTGCAGTTGAGTAGATAAAACTAATTCTAGTTGGAGATTGTTCAAGCTTGATATTATTGTTGGGCCCCTTTATCTACCAGCTTCAGCTTCTAGATGTTGGTGACTTGACATGGTATCAGAGCTCAGGTTTTGCAAGATCTATGGGTTCAATACTTCAATTCCTACCGCTTACCTTTGCATTATGTTAGTGATGCACGTTTGCGTTCTGGTAAGGAAATATTGAAGTACTATTTGGTTCTCTACTACCAGCTTGACCTCCTCCATGTACGTGCATGGTGACATTGGAGGGGGACTGTTCAAGCATGATAGCATTGATGTAACAACTTAAGTATATACATGAGTTCAATTGCAATAAACACATGGCTAGCTTAGGTATGTGAAAAGTAAATTGTTTTTGACATTTTATTCCAATGGGAGTCTATACCAATTGTCCAAACGATATGTAAACACATGTCTCTTACAAAGTCCAGTTTGAGTTTGTATGTTGGGAAATTCTCCCCAACAAAAATAATGTATGGTTAATTGATAACTCATTATGTGGTTATTGATTGCAACTAGTGTACTTCTCTTAAAGGAGTAACCACATTTTTGTTTATACTTTATCATTTTGGGTACCGGCAATTTTGAGTTGTCATGTATGAAATATAAGAAGATTATTACTCTAGTACTTAATTATTTTCCTTTTATGTCATATAGTTTTATGTTTCTAACCGGTTGAAGGGATATATATAGTTGGTTTTTTCTTGTATTGGCACAATATGGTTCTTCAAGCTTGGTATGTCAATGAGTTTGGTGTTGATATAGATCAGGTATGATATGATTCACTTATGTGATCAAATATTGATCCAACAATCCACTTAGTTGATTGACCCGTTTAAACGAGTCAATATTATGGTCAACCATAATTATGTACATGTGTGTAATGGTCCACTGGAAAAATTGGAAATAAGAGTTCTACTTCTTTAATAATAAACCTCAATCCCCCATTCTCCCTTTTTATATATCTCATACATTACCCCCTTAATTCCTCCTCTCTTTTTATTAGATTTTTTATTTGTCTACTAAGTTTTATTTTGTACTTTTCAAAAACTATAAATTTAAAACATCCAGATTGATGAATATTTATAATCATGACTCTTTTCATGGAAAGATGTGGTAGTTGACCCAAATAGTTTTATGAAGATAAATTTTTTAGACTAATAATATGAGTATTTTCTTGAAAATAAATTTTAGAATAAGATGTCATTAATAACGACAAGTTTATTTAAAAATATATTACTTTTACTCAGTATAAATTTTAAAACGAATTATTTTATATGGTTAATTTGTAAAATATTTTGAAATCTTTTATGATAGTTTTTAGGGAAATTATATAAACAAACCATTATTTTTTTTTACAGAGAACAAATATTTTTTCTTTGTTTTTGGAAAAATTACAACTTCCTACCACATGTTTCATTTCGGACTTTATTCAAACTACCGATTTTTTTTCAAAGTCTAACTACTTATATCCAAAATGTCTATTTTGAAATGTTTAATATATCGTTTTCAATCAAAAATTTGATTTTAAACAATATCATCCTATATATTTTCTATTTATTATGTTTGTTTAACTTTTTATTAGATTTTAGTAAAAAAAATTCTCAAAATTCTAGAACTTTTCATCGTATTTCAGATTTTTTCCTAAAAGTTCATAGTTTTTTTTTTTTTTTTTTTTTTTTTTTTTTTTTTTTTTTTTTCAAATCCGGAATATTGGTTTCGAATCCGAAATGTCTATCTTGTCAGAATTTTTTTTTTTTTTTTTTTCTATTTAGAATCCTCCATTCCGGACTTGTGGTTATTTTTTTTCTAAAAATTTTTTTGTTTAATTTTTCAAATTCATATTATATTATGATTACTCAAATTATGTATTTTTTATGTCAATTACAGTGTATAACTAAATTGAATAAAAGTATAATTTTTTTTTATAATAACATCAAATGTTTTAGACATGCAATATTTTATGTTCAATTAATATTAACACCAAATCTTTTTTTAAACCATATAAGATATAAAGTTGCTCTACTCAAAAATCAATCTCTCTCTCTCTCTCTCTCTCTCTCTCTCTCTCTTTCTCTCTCTAAAAATAATAATAATAATAATAATAATAATAATAATAAATAAATAAATAAATAAATAAATAAATAAAGTTGATGTTACACTTTTGTTTTAACTGCATATATATATATATATATATATATATATATATATATATATATATATATATATATATATATATATATATATATATATAAAGGTTATAATTTAACAAAATATTCAAACACAAAAATATGTAAATATTGTTTTATTGATTAATGTTCGTGAAATAATATTTTTTATACGTGTGTTAAATTTGACTTTTTACAAAACTGATGCCGTAGGTTACAATCCTATACACCATGATTTTGTTGTTGTGAGGTCTAACTAGAATTCAACAATAAAATGTTTTTACTATAATGATGAAAAAATTGTAAATGAATAATATATATATATATATATATATATATATATATATATATATATATATATATATATATATATATATATATATATATATATATATAATCATATTACCTAAAAATTTATTATAATGAAACGTTAAGGGTGTAATTTGTAATATAAACCAATAAACATAAGATCTTTTAAAAAATGTGAGGTATAAGAAATATACATAAACAATATATTTTGTGTGTTAAAACGATGTAATGGGTTGAAGAAGAATTACATATGAAAAATATGATGCAATAGGTTTGAGAGCGACGTAAAATATGTTTTCTTTCAAAACATGATTTGTATTTTTTAGTTCAAGTTTCGATTATCATATTGTCTTGACTGAAAAAGTATATTTTATGCACGATGTCAGAAGAGGTTTAGAGTGTCCGGTGTTTTATAATGAAATTCTTTTACATAAATATATGTAATTTTAGTAACAAATGCTTTAAAATATGACATGCTCCATGACATATGTTATTTTTCAAATGTAACTTTTTGTTTTAGTCAAATTAAATTTATATCTCACATTTAACATAAAAATTTGAATAAATAAATATATAAAGGGAAACATGCATGATTTTTATATATTTTTTTCAAAGATAAATAAAGACAGAAAACTCTATGTATAAGGTATGAGGAGTCTAGGATATACTGGATAGAGGGAGGCTGAGAATAATTATTTGGGTCAATATGGACTAATTAATCTTTAATTGGTTTATGACCTTATAGGCGAACATAGTGAAATGATCAGCATAAATGTTGTTAGGTCACAGGTTAACTGATTAAATGAGATAATTAATTAATCCAAACAAAATTTGACTCGGTGATACATCTTATATCAAGCCATGTCTCCAAGCCTAGGACAACCAACCATGAAGCAAAGTGTTCAATTTATAAGGTAAGGGTCGTAACATTTTTGTAAAGGTGTAACACATTTGACACATGAACTAGGTTACATTTACACACACTAGCGACACTACATACATCAATGACAAGTTTAATGATGAAAGAGTCCATTAATAATATTAGCCATCAATAAATTATTGGCAATTAAGTGAGAGATTATTGACGCTCCAATATATTTTGCTCATTCATCGATGTTTTTTTGATATTTCCATGGAATATCGACAAACTTAGCGACATATTGAGAGCTTTTAGAAAAAGAAAAATCTTAAGATGTGATAAGTACTCCAATTCCTTTTGAACTGATTCTATTACAGTTTGAGTGATTCAATAGTGTTGGTGTCTTGGGAAACAAAAGAAGAACCATTAATGAAGCAAGATGCTAATATCAATATTGAATTTAGTTTAGTTTAGTTTTAACTTCTAGAAAACAAACTTAACCACTAAAGATCTATCAATTTAGAAGAACCATTATTGAAGCAAGATGCAATATCAATATTGAATTTAGTTTAGTTTACTTTTAACTTCTAGAAAACAAAGTTAACCACTAAAGATCTATCAATTTTACAATAACTTTCATGTTGTGTACATTTAGTTTTTAAAACATATAGAACTTATAGTGGTCCTTTCGATATTCACTTGATCCTAATTAGGAATCTGAAGTATACTATCAACCGTAACGAATAATATTTCTTTATAATTACATAGTTTTAATCCGTATTACAGAGTAAAATAAATGACTAACATAATGTAAATGAATAAAATATACATTTAATTTTTATGAAAAATATAAGAATTTCAACCAAAAAATATCATCTTAAATTTAAAATGATTAAAAAACTATCTTGATTAAAGAAACTTTTCCATGTTTCAGTTGATGATATGGTAGATTACAAACATGGGGAGAAATCTGCACAAACTTTACGGTCGACTGGATTTCAAAACATGACATTTCGTACATATAATGGGTAATTAATCCTTCTTATAGACTTCAAGGACATAATTTCTCAAAAGTAACCTATGACTGAGAGTGTCAAATGCTGTTGATTTCGTTTTTAATATAGGCTTGGTCACCATACGATACCAGAAGAACTGAATGATGTTTGTTGTTGGCTCGTTGCGAGGATGGGGCTCAGTGGATATGGGGTGTGAATAAAAATATTTCTTTCTACTTAAGAGAAAGAGAAAAAAAAATCTAAATATCTATATAATCAAATAATAAAGCATAATAAAATATTAGAATATGTGTGGAAATGGGGTAATAAGTTATATTACTCCCATTTCTATAAAATGATTTTGAAATAAAAAGATGAGAGAACAAATTTTTTTTGTGGGTGAGATTTTCCATTATTTTTGTTTTTATGACAAAGATTTAAATGACTAATGCAAGTAAGAGAGAGATCACATGCACCAAGACACATTAGCTCTATAAAAGTTTCAGAGAACTTGTATGTTCTTTTACAAAAAGAGACATTACATTACACAAACTTGGGGCCTTGTATGTTGTTTTACAAAAAGAGACATTACATTATACAAACTTGGGGCCTTGTATGATCTTTTACAAAAAAAAGACAATACATTACACAAACCTGGGGCTATGAGGTTGAAAAGGATTGAAGATGGTCTTGAAGGAAATATCATTCATATAATTTGTTCTTTCTTAGTTTCTCTTTGTAGCTATGTACTAAATCGAATAAACGTATGTTTTGTTTAATAAGTTTGTCAAACGTGTGTCTATATATATATATATATATATATATATATATATATATATATATATATATATATATATATATATATATATATATATATATATATATATATATATATATATATATATATTATATATATATATATATATATAAGTGATGTACCCGGGCAAAGCAGCGGATGCGAATAGTTACTTTCAACGATAAGTTTATTTTGAAAAAAATGTTATGTTACAAGGAAAGTACATTGCTTGCTATTGCCTTTAGACCAACTTTAATAGTATGAAATGCAACTCACTACAGATCATTGATTTGAGATAAGTGGAGAGTTATGTATTCCTTTTCCTAAATATGGACTTCAGGACTTCCTTTCCAACCATCTTTGGAGGCGACAAGGGCATGTTAGTCTTTTCTGGTAGATCATCAGCAACAATACAAATTATGTCATCCTTCAATCCTTTCATTTGTGTTCCTTTCTGCACATGAAAATAAAGCATTTGAATATGAATGTTCAAAAAGACCAAAAAAAAAAAAAATCATACGTTTTATAACATTACTTTAGTCAACCAATTAATTAAACTTCTTTTATCAACACACAAATCTTTTCACTTGTTCATCTTCTTCCACATGAAAACCAACCTATTAATCCCAATCATTAGAAAAATAAGTATTTGAATATATATATATATATATATATATATATATATATATATATATATATATATATATATATATATATATATAGTGAAGATCAAATAAGAAGGAAAATTTTGGTACGATGGTAAAAAGATTTTTTATATACATATATTCTTAGGAAAAAAATGAAATGAATCATTAGATGATTCAAAAGTAAGATGATTCATAAGAAAAAAATCCGGAAAAAACACTTTCATGATTC